TTATGAAGTTTGAACGCTTCTCTTTTCTTGAAATTCAAGCTACAGATACTACAATGCATAGAAGCTACACTGCTAAGTACTTTCAAAGTGTTTGAATTATTGTTCACATTACACATTTCAACTTCGCTTAAGTTTGCATTCTTGTCACAGGACTCTACAACACTGTTTTGTGAGGAGTTCTGTTCATTAACTTTTCCGAGTGGAGAACTATCAGTTGTATGCACAACCTTTGGAGTTGTCTGTTTGTTTTTACTTCTTTCAGGCATCACATCAAAATCTTTTCTATTTTTCATGCTACTTTGTTCCAATACGGAAATATTCCCGTTTTTTATCGTAAGTAGTGCATACTCATCGCCGGATTTAAGGCTTGTTTCGAACAAAGAATCTGTGCAATCAACACCACAAGACTGCGTTTTACATGGCCCTTGTCCTCTGGATGTTGCATGATCGTTATCCTCATACGGCAAACGAAGGTCGATTTGCTGGCTCGAGTTCCCTTGGATATCTTTCGTTGGAGCAAATGCAGTTAAGCGATTGCTTTCGCTGATTGAAAGGTTGTCATTTCTGACAATGTTATCTTCTTCATCTTTGTTTATCGCATCATTATTTGGTAAAGCTTTATCGCTGAATGCACATAGCAAGTTTTGACCAAGAGGAGCGTCTTGTATGTCGCTATTATTTGACAAGGCTGTATTTTCCTCGCTAATAGATGAATTTTGTTCAACTGACTYGGGTTTACCAAGGGACGCAGCACCCATTCCCGAAGAAAAATGACTGATCATATGCTTTTTATAACAAGCATAATATACGAAGCCTTTTCCACAAATCGCACATTTACGCTTGTAAATCCTACTGCGCTGTTTRGTATCCTGGAAAACGATTTCAAAATCCTCTGTKGAACACCTGGCAAATTTACCCTTTGGAGAGAGCAGGTCAACGTTAAGCCGCGATAACCCAGGAAAAGCATCCCTAGKATCCATTCCTGGTATGACATCCAGAGAACCACCTTCTGATRTGACATCCACAGGACCACTTGGTAACATTACACCAACAGAAACACTTCCTGGAATGCCACCRACGAGAACATTTTCTGACATAATATTGACAGTACCACTTCCTGGTATAACATCCAAAGGAACGTTTTCAGGCATGACGTCCACGGGACTATTCCCTGGTATAACATCCACAGGAACACTTTCTGATTCAACACCATTATCCCTTCCTGGTATGAAATTCAGATATGTATCCTTTGATATGACATCCACAGGACCACTTTCTGACATAACATCCATAGGAGCACGTTTTTTCATGGCATCCACAGTACGACTATCTGACGTGGCATCCACAGGACCACTATATGACATGGCATCCAAATGACCACCTCCTGACATGATATCCTTAGAATCACCTCCTGTCACGGCAACCACGGGAACAGGTCTTTGTATGACATCCACGGGACGACTGTCTGGCATGATATCCGCAGGATCAATTCCTGGTATAACATTCAGAGGAACACTTACTGGCATGACATCCACATGACCGCTTTCTGGCATGGCRTCCACACGGCAACTTTCTGACGTGACATCCACAGGACCACTTTCTGATATGACATCTACTGGACCACTTCCTGTTATAACATCCACAGGATCACTGTCTGGCATGACATCCACAGGACCACTTCCTGGCATAWCACCCTCAGAACCAACTTCTGGCATAACATCCATAAGAACACATTTTTGTATGCCATCCACGGGACGACTGTATGGCATGATATCCAAAGGACCACTTCCTGGTATAACATTCAGAGAAACACTTTCTGGCGTGACATCCACATGACCGCTTTCTGGCATGACATYTACTGGACCACTTCCTGTTATAACATCCACAGGACGACTGTATGGCGTGATATCCAAAGGACCAATTCCTGGTATAACATTCAGAGAAACACTTTCTGGCGTGACATCCACATGACCGCTTTCTGGCATGGCATCCACAGGGCAACTTTCTGACGTGACATCCACAGGACCACTTTCTGGCATAACAACCACAGAAATACATTTTTGTTTGTATTCCACAGGACGACTGTCTGACATGACATCCACAGGACCAATTCCTGGCATAACATTCAGAGGAACACTTTCTGGCGTGACATCCATAGGACCGCTTTCTGGCATGGCATCCACAGGACCATTTTCTGACATGGCTTTAACAGTACGACTGTCTGGCATGACATCCACAGGACCAATTCCTGGCATAACATTCAGAGGAACACTTTCTGGCGTGACATCCATAGGACCGCTTTCTGGCATGGCATTCACAGGGCAACTTTCTGACATGACATCCACAGGACCATTTTCTGACATGGCTTCCACAGTACGACTGTCTGGCATGACATCCACAGGACCATTTTCTGACATGGCTTCCAGAGTACGACTGTCTGGCATGACATCCACAGGACCATTTTCTGACATGACACACAAAGGGACACTTTCTTGTATGATATCCAAAAGACCACTTTTTGTTATTCCATACATAGGGCCACTCTTTGGCATGACATCCAMACACTTTCTTTCTGACATATCCTCATCACCACTGACCGGTAAAGCATCCACTGCACCAGTTTCTGACATAAATTGCACAGGACCCGATTCTGGCATGMCACCTTCAATAACACTGTTTGGTAATRCATCAACTTGACCACTTTCTGGAGTGACATGCACATGACCACATTCTGGTATGATATCCTCGACACCGCTGTGTGRAAAGGTATCCAATAAACCATTTTCTTGCACATCATCACCAGGGCATTCTTTTTGCATGATATCAAYATTTACACATTCTCGTATCCCAGTGATAACAAGATTTTCTCGCCTGACATCTTGAGCTCCGTCTGATCTAACAACCAAAAGACCACTTTCTGAGACAAATTTCACTGCAACATTTTCGGTTGTGGCACTCGAGGGTATATAATAAACAMTACCRCACTCTGCTTGTACACTGAGACTATCATTTCCTGGTAACATATCTATAGAGCAATTTGTAGGAGTAATGACATCCATTGAAGACTCTGCTTTGTCTTTTTCAACTACTTTGTCCACATGTTGTTCTACTATTGATCTGGGTACTTCTATATCTTGATCTGTTTCACTCTGTGAATGACGTTTTAGACAAAGTACTTTATGTACGGTTTGGTCAGTTGGTGGACAATCTTCAGCTTCTTTGTTTGTATGGAAGCAATCTTTCTCTTCAATATTCTCAACAAAAGGGTGGTTTGAACAGAYCTTTGACTGTTTTTGTTTATGCTTCAAAGCATGGTACTTGTATTTCTTTTTACTTCTCATCCTTGCATTACAAATATCGCAAACAAATAGACCATRCACATTAGAAGAACTTTTATACCAGAAGTCTAATTTAACACGACACTGCTCCCTCAGTATTCTGTACTTTTCAAAATGTTTTCTGTAGTTGATGACYTTCCTGAATTTAGCATTGCAATATGGACAGCTTATGAATTTACGGCTATCACGTGATATCACCGGACACTGTGTCTCATGCCAAAACTCTTCGTGCTTTTTAAGATGTGATTTATAGTTTCGCAATTTTGAGAATGATGTTTTGCACAAAGGGCAGCTGAAGGGCGCTCTGCTGCGGAYCTTTTGAGGTTTGTTAGAATGAAATGTGGCTTGTTGRTGTAAACTTAATGCCTGTTGTCTTTTAAAGCWGCGATKACAAGTTTCACAAACATAGGTTTCGCGAACCTTCTTTGACAATTTCTCATTKGTTAAACTGCCTTTCAATCTTTTGTTGTCCCCATTTACTCTGTCTTTAGGATCTAATTTTCGCTTCTTCAGATTAATCGAATATTTGTTATTCAAATCGTGATTCAATTCCAATGGTGTTATTAAAACTTTGATACTTTTCGTAAAGCTGTGTTCGAGAGAGCTGTCTTTTTCCATATTAATTGAGTTCTTCTTTAARGGTTGGATCCTTCCACCTGACTTTCGTGCAGTGTATCTTGACAGTTTTATCATGGAACATTTTGAAGTTTCTGCAAATACCCCTTTCATTTCAGATGACTGTCTACATCCACTTTCGTTACAAGTATCAACTAAGAAATGGCTACAATTCTCATTAGAAAACTGCGTTTTTGCCATGTTTTCGATTTCAGGCAGCTTGCTTTCAAAAATGAATTCGACATTTTCGTTGTTTGAACAACTTGTTTCTTGGAACTCTTTGGTGCACAGGCATTTGGGATTTTCAAGCACTGATATAGGTCCACCATTGCATCGGATTAAACTAYCTTGACAGGAATTAACATTATCGCTAATCAGATTACCAGCAGCAGCCTGATATCTRTTTGATTTTTCTACAGCTAAATYGTATTGATTAACGCCATGTGGTGCAGAACGGCCACTTTCATATGTTGAAATTTGGGTACAACATGCCTGAGGGTTGACAGGTGGCATKTCAGTAATACCTTTATCTAAATAACTATTGCCTGGTATAGTATGTAAGTTACAGGAATCCAGCTCMAAGCCTTCTTTGTCTGCACCASTATCCGTCATCTGTTCGCCGTATGGTAAATTATAAGGACTTTGTAGGTTGATTAAACATTCAAAAGAACCTGCTCCAGCTACAGTTATCTGCACATCGTCTGGCCATGCTTTAAGGTTGTGATARTTATGAGGSTTATTTGTAAGTGTATCATCATTAGTTTTATTCATCTGTTTGACCTCTTGCGTTTTAAAGATGTAACAATTCTTAGAGTTCTTTATATCAAAACATGTTTCGGTTGTCTTGCCAAGAGTTAAATTACKTTGCGTACTTTCAAGCCTTAGCAAATTAAAGGAACTTTTTGATAGTAAATCTTCATCAGTATCAATTTTCTGGTCATCAGTTTGTTTATTTTCAAGACTTTGAAAATCAATGATCAATTTTCTGGTCATCAGTTTGTTTATTTT